CACACACACGTATACACACATGTTGAAGTGTGAAGAGTAGATTAGCAAAGATACAATGAGTTTATGAGAGTGGTTCTCTGCAGAGATGGAGCAGCAAACGGGGACTGGGGATAGAATTCAAAACAGATGTTATTTTCATCTGTAGTATATTATTTCTTGGGGGGGGCAACCACTCTCTTAAATGAGAAAATGTTAACAGTTGTAGTTTCTGGGAAGAGGAAACTGTGGCTGTCTGTAACATTATTTTTAGTCACTTCTTAGGTGTTTTAAATCTCCCTCAGAAATTGTTGGATCTCCTGAAGTGGGGAGGGGGAAAGGAGAGAGGTTTACATACTGGTGGATATTCAAAGATGATGGAGATGTTTACCATACAGTGAGAAATTTAGACCTATCACCTAAAAAGAAAAGTCAAGACTAGATATGCAGAGTTTTGAATTAGTTTAAAAATAATATTGAAAGCTCTAGGTGGATACCACTGTTCTGAAGAGAGAAAGAGGCTAAAGATCACACTAAGTGAAAAGACACATTGAAGAGTGATGTAGAAGTGAGTGAAGACAACTGAAAAGAAACAAATGGGAAAAACAAAAGCCAGTTTACTAACATGAAAATCAAATGAAGGAACAGTTTCAGTATGGGGAGTAAACAATGTCATTTGTGGAAACAAAATCAGATGAAGACTGATAATAACACTATCAGAAGCCCAGTGTTGAGTTTTGAAGAATTTTTCAGTGGGTAGGATGCAGAAGCTATATTGAAAGAAGGGAAGAAATTAGTTCATCTATTTCTTTTAGGATTAAATAAAATGAGGTTGTGTTTGTTTGTTTGTTTGAGACAAGGTCTTGCCATGTAGCCCAGGCTGGCCTTGAACTCAGAGCATCCTCCTGCCTCAGACTCCCAAGTGCAAGGCCTGTGCCATCGTGCCTAGCTAATAAAATGAGTTTTTGACTTACAGTGTTAAAACATTTTAGTTAAAACTTTTCTTATAATTTTAAACATACTAAGCAAAAATTATTAGTTTTTTGTAGAGTTTCACAGGAATTACAAAATTTTTCCCAATGTATTTAATGTAGTGCACATTCTCTAGTGATAATAAAGAACCCAAACCCTTGAAATCACTGTCACAGATGTATTTAAAATATAGAAACCACAGGCTGGGAGTGAGACTCAATGTGCACAAGTTCTTAGCTGTGGTAAGTTTCTAGCATTGAAAGAAAAATACACAACACATACACATATACACATACACACAGAGGTGGGAGGGAGTGCATTAGCTATTTTGACTCACTTTGCAGAGTGCCATGCACTTATGAGTGCTTAATAATTGCTATTTAAAAGGTGTTTGACACCCATTAGAAAAGACTAGCTGAATTAGTTTGACAGTCTTTTTTAAGCGTGGCTGCTAAGAATTTGACGGAGTGTTTTCCAGAGTATAAATTGTAAAGTGAATGTCTTGGCTATTTTTCTGATTGCTGAGACAAAATATCTGACACTCAAAGTTTAAGAAAAAAAGGTTTATTTCAGCTCACAGTTTGTAGAGGTTTCAGTCTGTAGTTGGCCAATTCCAAAGCAAGGCATCATGACAAAGGGAGAAACAGTCTATGGCAGGGCGGCAGGAAGCAGCTGGCAGTGGGCTTCCTTTTCCCTTTTATCTCATCCAGGGTACAATCCTATTGGACAGTGCCATCCATATCCAGGGGGAGTCTTCCCATTATCCACACTCAGAACTATCCTAAACCAATTAGTGGGCTAATTTAGTTATCACACTCTTATTTATACACCTAGATCCGATCACCTCCAAAAAGCCCCACCTGTGAGTGCCCGAGGCTTTGGAGGGACTTATAGATACACACTTTAGCAGTGAAGAATCAATAAACTGAAGGAAATTCTGATCCAGGAGAAACTTGTCAGTGCAGAAAACATGAATTGAAGTTAGATTATACTTGTTTGTATCAAAAGTGGTACATACTGGACCTTTGAGTCATTAAAGCATTATAATGGTTCATGCACTAAAATGAATGGTGTTATGCATTGGCAAGATAACTTATAATAAAATAACTTGTAGAAGTCATAGACCTCTTTGAGAATCTTAAAATATCCACGTGTTTCAGAAAAAATGCAAATGCCGCTAACAAAATTTTGCTACTGTAAATTGCTATTAAAAATCCAAACTGGGGGAAAAAAAGCTGGGAGTTGGTGTGGTGGCCCACACCTTGGGAGGCTGAGACAGGAGGATTGCCATGAGGCAGTCCTGGGCTACATTATGAGTTCAAGGCTAGTCTGAAATACATAGTGAGACCCTGTGTTAAAAACAAGCAGGGCCGGGATTTAGCTTAATTGTGCTGCTGCCTGCCTTGCAAGTGCAAGGTTCTGGTACAAAAGGAAAAAACAAAACAAAATACAACAGACAAACAAAAATCCAGACTATGTGTCTATAATCCCAGCATTCTAGGAAGCTGAGGAGAATCATAAATTCAAGCCCAGTTTGGGCAATTTAATGACTTAGCAAGACTCTGTCTCAAAATAAAAATGGGTGGAGATGTAGCTAAGTATGAAGTCCCTGGGTTTAATACCCAGTTTTCCCCCACCCTTTTCATCCTTGTGCTTAACCTAAACCCTTGCGTTTATACATGGTTTAAGTATATATAAATAACTTTCTTTGGTAGTATTCCAGAATGTAGCATACACTCGCCATTACTGTATTTAATTTTATGTATAAGCAGTTTGTTATATCATATTGTCTCGAGCACTTTTACTCTTGATGGAGGAGTCTTCATGAACTGAGATTATGTTTTGGGTATATCATTTAGTGCTACCAGTAATAGATAGCACTAAATACCTACAGTAGAAACTTGCTCAAAGCAAGCCCCACATACTTAACTTGTTGAATAAATGAATGAATCTGTGGCTAAGGGTTCAAGCTTTTTTATTTTAATTATATTTTATAAAATCTGGCTTAAAACAAATTAGTAATACAAAAGAAAATTGCATGGACGGGCATAGTGGCGCATGCCTGTAATCCCAGCACTTGGGAGGCTGAGGCAGGAGGATCACTGTGCGTTCAAGACCAGCCTGGGCTACATAGTGAGTTCCAGGTCAGTCTCAACTACATAGTGAGACCCTGTCTCAAAAAATCAAGAAAAGAAAAAAAAAAATTGCAAATACCCAGCACTTGAGAGGCTGATGCAGGAGAAACATGAGTTCAAGTGTTGCTTGGGCTACTCAGTGTATTCAAGACTGGCCTATAGCAAGACCTTGTCTCAAAATTACCCTCCCCGCCACCAAAGCCCATAAGTAGAAGAATCTCAGGTTCTCAGGAGGCTGAGAAAAGAGAATCACAAGTCTGGGCAACTTAGTAAAAACCCTGTCTCAAAATAAACTTTAAAAAAGGGCTAGGGATGTAGCTCAGTAGAGTGCTTGCTAGTATGCACAAAGCCATGTGTTCAATCCTTAGTACCACAGAGCAAATAATCAGTCCTTAAGTTATCTGATGGCTTCGTTAGGGCCAGAGGGTCTATTTCAGTGATGGTGAACCTTTTAGAGAAGCAACCCCAAACCCACTTATTTATTGCAAAGTGCCAGTGTTGCAATTAAACACCATTACTGAGGTTTTAGTTTAGGAAAAACAACATAGCCGTTTTGGTAAAATCCCCACAAGAGAGGGGCTTACAGTTTTGCTATGTATATGAAATCTGAAAGCTGGCAGCTGGCAGATGATTTGTTTTATGAAGATAGTTGCAAAAACTAAGATATTGGGAATGGTATTTTCTCAGTTTCCCTTCAAGAAGCTCTTTCCTTTCAGTTTCACCAAGTTCAGCAACACTTTTATGATTGGTGTCAAAGTGCCACCTGACACTTGATGTGCAACACACACTTTACTACACAGAATACATAACACTTTCCCTTTGTATTCAGTAGCTCCAATTGACTCTGTCCAGGTCTCTTGTAATGATCTGCCGCAATCTGTTTGTAGTGTTGCTGTAGTCATTTTTTGGTGTTCAAGACTTTGAGTCCACAAAAACACAAAATTACAAACAAATCGAAGCACACAATACAAATCTGTCCTTACATAAAAAATAGCTAATACTATTAGTTAACACTAAAAAATTGGACATTCCTGAATCTACAGTCTATGGCAGTGATTCGGTGAGGGGGTCCTCTTGAATTCGCTGACGATTAGCACAAGAGCAGCGAGCGTTCCACTGACCACCACCTTTTGACCTGTGCTGAAAACAGCATCTGGGTGTATTTCCTACCTTTTGGGGGCTTTTGCTAAAGATCACAGGCAATCCAAGCAAATATATCTACTTGTACCCTTGGCCATGCACTGATGGGCCATGCCAAAGCTCAGGTGTATTTCCTGGGCAGCTTTTGTTACATGATCATTGATAGGATATCATTGTTTCTTGCTTTTATTGTTCATGGCATTTGGCTTCCTCCAAGAGCTAGTGAACTAGTCATTTCAAATTTATTCTCTAGAGTGAGTAACTAAGTCCATCCCACAGTCAAGGGGGAGAAGAAGAGGAATTAAGCTATACTTTTTGAAGGGAAAATATTTTAAAAATCTGTGGATGAGAGAAATCTGCATAGCAGATAAATAGGTCTGGAACTTTCCCGAGGTATGTTTGGGCTCACACACTGGTGTCAAAGTGCTTGGGTTCAAATTCTGACCTTACCCTTCTGTAACTCTATGACCTTACACAGGGAACCTTGGCTCTTCACATATAAAATGAGCATAATAGTAATATCTATTTCCTAGGCATGTGGAGGGGAAGAAGTAAAAAATGAAGGTATAAATTTAGCATACAGACTTTATTATTTAACCCCTCTCAACATATCAGTAACTGTGATACAGAGAATATTTTCTGTAATGTCATTGGCAGAATATGAATTTTTCTAAAGTGTCTACCATAACCTCAATTTAAAAAATTCTGCTTGTAAGTACCAAAAACTTTTTTTTTGAAAACAGAGTCTTCCCATATAGTTTATAGTTCAGGCTGGCCTTGAACTCACTGTGTAGCCCAGGCTGGCCTGAAACTCACAGCAATCCCGCCTCAGCATCACGCCTGTTTGGGTGCCACCAAGCCCAGAATTTATTCAACCTTGACATCCTGAAAAAAACGAAGATTAGAACATGTGTAAATACATGTACAAATATGCATATTTCATACAATTATATCATATATACTGCATGGCTTGTCATTTTATAGAAAAATATATATTTCAGTCATGCTGCATTTATATTTTTTAGTACTTATTCATGTTGACAAAAATAGTGGGAACTATAGAGTGCTCGCCTACCTTTCGTGAGGAGGCTCTGGGTTTAATCATCAGCACCACCATGGGCTGGCTGTGGATTTCAGGGCTCAGCTCAAGCAGTCCTCCTTGGTAGCTGGGAATACCAGTGTGTGCTGCAGCAGTTCCTTTTTGATTTTGGTTTTTAATAGAATGACCCACTGAATATCTTCCGTATTTTTTCAAGCTAGGCTTCAGAAATGAAATTCCTGTGCCAGAAAAGTACAAGCTTCTTTAAGTCTCTTGATTATGTACCATTTATTTTCCTGGAAATTTGTATCAAAATACATTGTAGGGCTGGCAGTTTGGCTCAGTGGTTCTGCCACCTGCCTCACAAGCGCAAGGGCCCAAGTTCGATTCCTGGTACTAAAAACAAAACAAAACAAAACATTCTAGTAGCAGCTTGTTCTACCCCAGGATAGTACTGTTGGTCTCTTAAAAGTATATAGTGGCTTTTGAAAGCAGTTACAGCAGCAAGTACACAACTGTATTAAAGGCCAGGGAATATAAGATGAATGCAGAGGAGATACATGTGTATACAGATGTACAGAGAATAAAACACACACAAACACCTCACACTTTCTGAGTTATATTTTAAACAGATAGTAAGGTAAAAAGGCTTCACACTAATTGTTTCCACATAGAGATCATTTTTTTTTTCTTGAGCCACACTGACTTGTCAATTCCACCAAAAAAAAAAAACCTTTTCCCTTACATTACTGTTTTCCCTTCTACAGAGAATACATGAAAAACTAACAAGAATGGAAATTCAGATATGTAACTAGTTTCAATAATATGCCTAAAGCCAAGAGTTACCCCTTAATATTCCTATCCTTTACATGGAAATTGTTAAAGATGCTGCCTGAACCGGGTGTGATAGCACATGCTTATAATCTCAGCATTTGGGAGGCTGAGTCAGGAAAATCAATGCAAGTTTGAGGCCAGCCTGAGCTACATAGTGAGTTTCAGGCCACTCTGAACTATATAATGCAATCCTATCAGTGAGTGATCCTTATTTTAAATTGATTGACAATAAAAAATAAAACTTCCGGTTTTTGACCTATATATGGCAGGTTTACTTAATCCAAGAGAGAGATTTGGGGAATACTTTGGAAATGGCATGTAGGTTCTTTTGGCAGTGGTGGTAGGGCTAGGGGAAAGGCCAGTTGACTAGATGAATATTAAGAGAAATTAAAAAATGTTATGTCTTATAAATCCATTTTGAGCGGTTCACCTTTTATAAAATGATACTGTATGTTAGCACTGAAAACATTTTTCTCTAGATTGTAGGAACAGTTAATTCAGATCATAAAATTTGTCACCTTGTTAAATGTGTATCTCCCAAATCTGTGTATTTAGCAAATATTGAGCAATTCTCTGTAGGAAGCATTGTTTAAATTTTGTGACAAAGAACTTTAGGATAGCATCTTGTTTAAAATTTTGTTTTTGGTCATCCCATCCCACATACATACAGTGGGGGGACCTTGTACTCAGGACCTTGCACTTGCCAGGCAGGCACAACGCCACTGAGCTATATCCCTGGCCCTTCAAATTTTGATTTTAATTAAGAAATGCCAATCAGGTGTGGTGGTGTACGCCTTTAATCCCGGTATTCTGGGAGGCTGAGACATGGGACCACAAGTTTGAGCACAGGGCAGGCAATTTGGCAACTTATTGGAATCCTGTTTCAAAATGTGGAAAAAAGGTTGGGGATGTAGTTCAGTGAAAAGGCCTTAGGTCGAATCCTTTGTACTGAAGAATAAAACAAAACAAAAAAAATCGTGTGCTGAGGGTATAGCTCCGTGGAAGAGGGCTTGCCTAGCATATGTGAGGCCCTGGTTCAATCCCCAGTACAATTAAAGAGGCATTTTCTTGTTTTAATGAGGTCTCGTTTGTCATGTCATTCATTGGTTTGTCAACGAATTTGTTATTAATTGGTAGTTTACCTCTTTCTGTTGTATTTTAATAGGTAGTATATTTGTTACAAGGTGAATTCCTAGGAAAAAGATTATTGAAATGGATGACATAATATAGTAGATTCATAATGAATAGATTCGTTTCCAAATGCACTAAACAGAAGTGAAAGGCTACATGAATTTCATGATTAGCAAACTGGGGCTCTCATCTAATCTCCGGGATTGGCGAGTTCTGAGGTTTACAAAATACTGTATACCTGTTTAGTGTGCTTGCTACTCCGGCAAGAGGAAAGGATGCAGTCGGCTCGTAAAGCGTTAGAACCGCCTTTTTAAGTAATGCCTTGGAATACTCTCTAGGTAAGACTTTGTTGTTTCTTCTTATTTTAAAGTGCTGTTCTTTCAAGTGAACTGATTACGTGTAGCATAAGCTCTGAAAAGGCCAAAACAAGTTAGAAAGCCACCTTCCTATACAGCGGCGAGAATAGGTATTGGCTGGCTTCTAGGAAGAAAATGTGATTAATGGCCTTTTTCCAGAGGGGCGACAGTCGCAGACCTCGCTTCCGCAGAGCGTGAAATGCGCCTCTTCCTGCCGAGGGCCGGTCCCGCGCGGCCCGGGTCCCCAGCCTCAGGTGT